GAAAATGACCAGTTTCTCGAAGATATTGCTGGCGATGTCTCAGTTGCAGTAAAAGGTGCATCGAAAGAAATCCAGGACAGCTGGAGTGATCGGTGCAAGACTGCTAGCATGGGGGGGGCGCGGGGCCTTCACAGGGTCACGACGGTTCGGAGTGTTGTTGCGCCTACGGTTGTGCGCGACCCTAAAGGCCCCAGTGCTGACCCTCAGTCCTGTTGCGCAGCATGAGCTTCAGTCGTATTCTAAGCTCTGGCGAGCCGCCGCCTCCCCACCGGTTGCCTGGGTCCCCGATCGGTCCAGCTTTCCCCGACCTGACCCTGGGGGGGTCAGGAAAGTCATCCAGAGTTTCTCGGAGACGACTGCCAGGTCCTTGGATCAGTTTCATCCGAGGCATGTCCTGTGGCTTGACGATGATGGCTTAGACTTCAATGATATCAGCATCAAAGTGCATGCTGTCAAGGCTTTCGATGATTTTGTTGCTAGCCAGCCTCCTCTTGTTGCGAGTTAAAAAGATTGGCAGGTTTAAATCCAGAGCCCCCAACAAGGAGGCCAAGAAGGGTCTCTCTCAGGTCCTTCGCACGGGCGTTGCGCCCGCGTCGTCGTATGGGTATGAGGTTTTGGGTTTCCCGGGTGCTGAGCTCAACATTGTGCGAAGGACCCAAGTTCGCAGGATGCCGCCGTCTCATGGAGGAACCAGTGCGACGGCCAACCGTGTTTTGTATGGTGAGTGGGACACTCGAGCAGCAGTTGGTCCAGCTCTGCAGTGGTGTCGTATGCTTTGGAATGCCCAGGTCAGTCCCACTCGTGGCTGATCCCTTTCCAGGAATTGCTTCAGCTCTGGGAGCAGGCAGAGGCCAGCGATGCTGGCGATTGGAAATCCAGCCACGGCCCACTTGCTCGTGCAACCTTGTCGGCACGACGTGCTGGATGGAAAGTGGTGTCAGGAACGCAGAGGATCGACCATTGGGGCTGCGCGGTAGATATAAGCAAGACCCTACCTCGCCTCCTCCTTGATCTTCCCCGAGAGGGTCTGCAGCGAGAGGCGGAGCTTCGTTTTGCGACCATGCCTGGGCACGCGCACGGTATGCGAGCCACCATTGACCTTGTTCGTAATTGTATGTGCACGCGCAATGAGAAGCACACTCGTTAGCAGCAGTTCCTTCTTTTGTCGTGCGCCACGGATGTGATTTGGACTGGGGCGCGCGCGTGCGATGCTGGATACCTCACTGACGGCATGTGCACGCGCGGACAGCGCGACACGTTGCACCATGGACTATGCACCTGCACGCGTCCTGAGGTCGTGGAGGCCCGACAGTCCCATTAGATTCCGTCGGACATTTTTGAGGAGGGGGCACGCAGTGATGATCTTGTCTTCACGCGTGGCTTGTTTGCGTTCTTGGATAGTGATGTGCCCCCTCCAGCCTCCCATGCCCGCTGTGAGATCCTGATCGGCTCAGGACTTGATTTGAATATGCAGCCTGAGGATCTTGCGACGCTTGCAGGAGATGTGGTGGAGCTCGAGATGGCGTCACACGGCAGCTGCACGAAGCAAGCCCTCCGCTGTCTCCATCGGGCCTCGTGGGCGCCCGCCCTCATGGAGCCAGGCAGCGAGTCCTTCCTTGCCATCTTGCGGGGTATCGTTCCTGGCGGAATGCCCCAAACACCTGCGATGGCCGAACATGCGGGGGCGGCCTTGGTCGGGCAGGTTGCAGATCGGCCCACCTCTCTGGCTCTCGATTGAAAAGCTGTGATTTGTCAGACCCAGAGGCCGCTGTGGAAACAGTTTATGGGCTCCAGTAAACTTGCTGGTGCGAGGCGGCTTTCCCATGAGCTAGCAGGCGCGGAATTTCTGTCGACCTTCCACGTCAAAGGCTCATCGAGAGCTGTCTGCCCTTAAGGAGTTGGAACGAGATGATCGTAGGTTTGGTTTTGCGGATCGCGCCGTGGATGAGCATGCCAAGAAGGCCCTTGCGGGCCATCCTCGGCACTTGCCCACGTTTTTGAACCAAATTGACTCGTATCAAAACCGAGCCGACGTTTTTATTAAGCTTGCTTCCGAAGTGTTGCCCCTCTTCAAAAATTCAGTGCATTGGAAGCGAGCGGCTTTTACCACCCAGGGGCGAAGTCGCCAGCAGTTGGCATCTCTGGAGCAGGACCGAACTGAGAGTGCAGTGTCGTGATTGTTGGGTTGTAAGCGATCGACCCGACAGGCCCACGTTCGGTTGCAAGGGCCCGCGTCCTGCTCCCCAGAAGCTGCTGCGTGATCCCCTCGGGCATCAGCTCGTCGCCGTGTCGGGCTCGGTTCTTGAGACGCCTCGGTCGGATGTCGTCCTGGCCCCTGCCGTCAGCAGCAGATCCTGCGTTTAAAATGCGGGGGCTGGACACAGGGGAGGGCCGTGAAGCTCGCTGAGGTCTGCGACAAGCCGTCGCGTAAGGGACTGGATGTCCTGAGCCGCTTTCGGCGTGGGCTTGGCCCCAAGCCCAAGGTGGAAGCTGTGCCTGAGAATGCGACGCCTGTGTCGCAGCTCAATGTTGCAAGAGAGGCGGACGATAAGCCCGAGATGTGTGTTACCTCAGTCCCGCGAGCGTTTTCGGACTCTCCCTCGGCCCCCGCTTTCGAGCAGCGACTGGCGGCTCTTGTCGCCAGAATTAAGGCTGAAGAAGAGGCAAGAGCCTCACGGGCGGTTTAACTCGGGTCGATCCCCCAAGCTTTTGGTGCTGTCACCTCCCGACCTTTCAAAGCGCTGTCCATCCATCCAACCCGAGACTCCGCCCAGGCCCGCATCTCCGCCCCAGGGCTGCGAGGTGGAGTTCGACGAGGATAGCGCCGCTCACGGCTCGAGCCGGAGACCGACGCTGCCCCGTCCTTCCGCGCCGCGCCCGTTCTGAACGAGGAGAGGGGCCGCGGCGCCCATGTGCTCTCGCGGGCGCGCCGACGTCGCGCCGAGCAAGGGCATGGGCGCGAGCAGGGACAGGAACAAAAACCAGCCCGTGCCAGAGACCGACGCCAACCAGCCCGATAAGAAGAAAACGACGCGCAGGGCAGGGTACAAGGTGATGCTCCAGCGTGCCCGCGCGGCCCTCCGCGCGGCTGCCGCCGGCGAGCCAGGCCTGCCGTCGCCAGCGGCCAGTGCCGAGGCCTAGGAGGCGGAGGCCCCCGGGCGCGCCCGGCTTGGAGGTGGGCGCCGATCGTGGACGGAACGGCTCCTGCAATTTCTGATTGCAGTGAGCCTCGAGGCGATCATGCCAAAAAGTGCGCGCATCCCTCGCGGTCTATCTCCATCCATCTTCTTCTCTTATCTACCAGGCCAAGGCTCCTCCACCTCGCCCTCCACGTGACCCCTGACCATCACCTTGCCTAATCCTCAGGGCAGGCTTTCAGACATCACGTCTGTGGCCCGAGGTTACCAACGTGCACTGATGAGGCCTGGGGGAACTCGCGCCACCATCGTTCGCGCATGCGTTCTCCCCCAGTGCCGCTCCCACGAGCACGAGCGAGCCACGCGTCAAAAAGGGAGAACCCGGGTCCTTCCGCGTCGCGCGCACCCCAGGTGAGACAGCGACAGGGTATTGTAGCTAAGTCTAGAGTGCGCTGGGGTGGGACAGTTCTGGTTCCTTCTTCCCTTTCTTCTTTTCTCCGCCAGGGCTGTTTGATCGCCCGCGCGATCCCGAGTCAAATGGGGTGCTTTGCCGCCGTTTGGCTTCAGCGCCGGCGCGTGCTTGTGCGACGTGCGGAAAAGTAGACACTGCAATCGTAATTTAATTGCCGCCGTGCTTTCTCTCGGTTTCCAGCCCCCGCAATTCTAGTTCCTCCTCCTCCCTCCTCCTCGTCCTCCTCCTCCTCCTCCTCCTCCTCCTCCTCCTCCTCCTCCTCCTCCTCCTCCTCCTCCTCCTCCTCCTCCTCTTCCTCCTTCCTCCCAGCTCCCGTTTCTTTCTCACTCTCCCCCTCCCTCCCTCCTCCCTCTCTCTCCTCCCCCCTCCCGCCTGTGCCCTGCTCCCCATCCCCTCCCCTCCTCCTCCTCTCCTCCTCCTCCTCCCTCCTCCTCCTCCTCCTCCTCCTCCTCCTCCTCCTCCTCCTCCTCCTCCTCCTCCTCCTCCTCCTCCTCCTCCTCCTCCTCCTCCTCCTCCTCCTCCTCCTCCTCCTCCTCCTCCTCCTCTCCTCCTCCCTCCTCCTCCTCCTCCTCCCCTCCTCCTCTCCTTCCCCCCCCCCTCCTCCTCCTCCTCCTCCTCCTCCTCCTTTACCTCCTCCTCCTCCTCCACCTCCCCCTCCTCCTCCTCCTCCTCGTCCACCTCCTCCTCCTCCTCCTCCGCCTCCTCCTCCTCCTCCTCTGCTCCTGCTCCTGCTCCAGCTCCTGTTCTTGCTCCTCTCCTGTTCCTACTCCTCCTGCAACTGCTTCTGTTCCTCCTCCTCCTCCCCTCCTCCTCCTTGTCCCCTCCTCCTCCTCCGCCTCCTCCTCCTCCGCCTGCCTCCCGCCTCCTCCTCCTCTCTCTCCTCCGCCTCCTCCTCTCTCCTCCTCCTCCTCCTCCTCATCCTCCTCCTCCTCCCCTCCTCCTCCTCCTCCTCCTCCTCCTCCTCCTCTTTCTCTCCTCCTCCTCCTCCCCTCCTCCTCCTCCTCGTCCTTCTCGTCTTTCTCTCCCCTCGTGCTCCTTCCTCCTGCTCCTCCTCCTCCTCCACGTCCCTCTGTTCTCCCCTCTCCTCCTCGTCTTCCTTTTCCTCCTCCTCCCCTCCTCTCCCTCCTCCTCATCCCCTTTTCCGCCTCCCTCCTTCGTCCATCCTCCCCCTTTTCTCCTTCGAGCTCCCTTCTCCCCCGTCCCTTTCCTCTCCCTCCTCCCCCTCTTGCTCCTCCTCCTCCTCCTCCTCCTCCTCCTCCTCTTCCTCTTCCTTCGCCTCCCCCGCTTTTCTTCCCCACCTCCTCCTCCTCGGCCACGTCTTTTTCCTCCCTCGTCCGTCATCCTCGCCCTCGTGCGTTAGGCCGAGAAGGGGGGTCGGCATGCCAGGGCGCCCTGGTCGGTATACCGGCTTCGCCGGCCAGCCTTGCTGTGCCCCAGCGGCATTTGTGCCTCGCCGTGCCCGGGCGCCGAGTTGTTGACCGTCAAGCGCTGGCAGTTTGGCGGCACCGCCTTCTCCTTCTTCTTCTTCTTCTTCTTCTCATTTGTATTATTCTTATTCTTCTGTTTTTTCTTCGTATTGTTCTTTTCTTTTTAATACTATTTCCCTTTTGTCTTCGATTTGCTCCCTCCTCGCCCCCTCGTCCTCATCCTCGTCTTTGCTCCTGGTCCCTCTCCCCTCCTCCAGTGTTGACAGCCTCCCTCCTCCACCTGTCCTGCCTCGTTGTCCTTCCCTCCTCTTTCCCCCTCGTCCCTCAGGCTCTTCTCCGTCATTCCTGTTCCGTATGAGCTTTACCTCCCTGTCGCACCCATACCCGTGTCGGTAGGCCGTGCCAGGCGATTCGCCTGATATAGTGCTGCTCTTCATTGCCCTGGAGCTTGAAACTGGCAGCAGCTTCAAACATACCTGGTGGCGTTTTCAAAATGTGGCTCTCGCCCGAGTGCCGCGCACGTTTGTCTGCACAGACTGCAAACAAATCAAGGATGGAGGGCGGGTGAATTTCAACATGTGGCTCTTTCGCAACAGCGCGGCGCGCATTTTTCTCAACGCCTGCAGCAGTTGCAAGGGCGGAGCGCAGGTCGTCATCACAATGGTGCTCTCGCCGTAGCGCCGCGCACATTCGTTTTCAAACTTTGTAACCGCTTGAACGATGGATGCAGGCACCTTTTCAAACTGTGGTCTTCGATTTCGCGCCGTGCACATTCGTTTTTTACCTAACAGCGAAGACTGATAGGTTTCTAGTGGGATCAAAAGAGAGCAGCAGATCACTCCACAGGGGGGTCCGGGCAGGTGTTGGGAGTTGCCGGGCGGCAGGTGCCGGGCTCGTTTTTCACCAACAGTCACACACTTCGTGCTCTTCGCCTTCCCAGAACTCCATTCCCAGGCCACATTCTGAATACCCGGATGCAACAGTCACACACAAAGTGCTCTTCGAGATCCCAGAACGCCATTCCCGGGCCACATTCTGAATAACCGGATGCAACAGTCACACACTTCGTGCTCTTCGAGTTCCCAGAACTCCATTCCCGGGCCACATTTTGGATGCCCGGAGCCAACTGTAGGCCACTTCGTGCTCTTCGATTTCCCAGAACTCCATTCCCGGGCCACATTTTGGATGCCCGGAGCCAACTGTAGGCCACTTCGTGCTCTTCGAGTTCCCAGAACTCCATTCCCGGGCCACATTTTGAATGCCCGGAGCCAACTGTAGGCCACTTCGTGCTCTTCGAGTTCCCAGAACTCCATTCCCGGGCCACATTTTGAATGCCCGTAGCCAACTGCAGGCAACTTCGTGCTCTTCGACTTCCCAGAACTCCCATTCCTGGGCCACATTTTCAGCAGGGGCAAGAGCACGACGAGGAGGAGGACGAGCAAGACCAGGAGGACGAGGACGAGCAGGAGCAGGACGAGGAGCAGGAGGAGCAGGAGAAGAAGGACGAGCAGGAGGAGGAGGAGGACGAGCAGGAGGAGGAGGACGACCAGGAGGAGGAGGACGACCAGGAAGAGGAGGAGGAGGAGGAGGAGGAGGAGGGGAGAGGAGTACCAGGAGGAGGAGGAGGAGGAGGAGGAGGAGGAGGAAGAGGAGGAGGAGGAGGAGGAGGACGAGGACGAGGAGGAGGAGGAGGAGGAGGGGGGGAGAGTACCAGGAGGAGGAGAACGAGGACCACCAGGAGGAGGAGGAGGAGGAGGAGGAGGAGGAGGAGGAGGAGAGAACACCAGGAGGAGGAGGACGAGCAAGACGAGGAGGACGAGAACGAGGACGACCAGGAAGAGGAGGAGGAGGAGGAGGAGGAGGGGAGGGGGAGGACTACCAGGAGGAGGAGGAGGAGGAGGAGGAGAAGAGGAGGAGGAGGAGGAGGATGGGGACGGAGGAGGAAGGAGGGGGGGGGAGAGCACCAGGAGGAGGAGAACGAGGACCACCAGGAAGGAGGAGGAGGAGGAGGAGGAGGAGGAGAGAGGAGGAGAGGAGCACCAGAGGAGGAGGACGAGCAAGACGAGGAGGACGAGAACGAGGACAGCAGGAGAAGAGGAGGAGGAGAGTGGAGGAGGGAGGAGGAGGAGGGAGGAGGAGGAGGAGGGACAGGAGAAAGAGAGGAGGAGGAGGAGGCATTGAGGCTGAGGCTGTGACTGCGACTGCCGTTGCCGCTGCGACTGTCATCGCGAATGCGACTACGACTGCGAGAACAGCAGAATTCTACAACTGGATTTTCATCTGAATCTTAAGGGGAATGCTTTCAGATATGCTTCTACACATCGCGGAGGGCCGGATGCAACAGTCACACACTTCGTGCTCTTCGAGTTCCCAGAACTCCATTCCTGGGCCACATTTTGGATGCCCGGAGCCAACTCTAGTCCACTTCCTGGTCTTCGAGTTCCCAGAACTCCATTCCCGGGCCACATTTTGAATAGCCAGACGCTTCATAATCCTTCCGCCGCAGCCGTGTTTGGTTCAGGACTTGCTAGTGACACTGCAGTCCACTGCATTCAATCGTGCCACTGCATTCATTCACTGCAGTCCACTGAGTTTCGATTGCAATGGCGTTCCCCTGGCCGTACCCCCATGTCCAACGTTCATCCGCAGCCTCTGCTCCGCGAGGCTCGTCCGAAGTGTCGCCGCCTCGCGGTGCTTCTCAGCCTGCGCCGCCTCGCGGTGCTTCTCAGCCTGCGGAGGAAGGTGGACAGACGCCTGGTTCTGGCGCTGTGCAGCCTGCGTCTTTCACGGTCGCCTCGTTCAATTTCGGGTTCGAGCAGGGCATGATGACTGGTAAGCAGGCGGCCACTCACTGCGCTAACTTCGGAAGGTTGTGCGCCAAGATAGTGGAGACCGCTGATGCTGATATGGTCTGTGGCTGCGAGGTCGGTGCGTTCCGTGAAGGCTTTCGCCGAGCAGGGATCAACGTGACAGAGATCCTCAGTAAGCCTTTCGGTGATGGCATTCGCTTCTTGGAGGTCGACAACTACTTGACTCTCTGGGGGTTCCGCGGTGCTTCTCAGCCTGCGGAACTGACTCTGTGCGAAGACAGCAAAGTTTACAGGCCTCCTAGCGGCCGAGAGATTGATGCTGTTATTTCACATTTTGAGGTGAACAAACCAGGCCATGACAAGTTCCACGTGGTGATCGCCAACATGCACATCGTGTGCGGCAAGAAACCGCCGACCATCCAGACTCGAAAGCGGACAGTTCGCCATCTCCGCTTGCACCTGGACTGCATGGCTCAGATTCTCAATGCTTCGGAGCCGCACGTGCCAGTCGTTCTGCTTGTAGTCGGCGACGACAACCTGACTTTCCAGGAGGCGCGGGAGGCTTACCAGCGCCAGCAGAACGACGAGAAGCTCTGGGAGGTCCATGCCACTCCGGCCGACCTCAAAGGCGACCACGTCGCGGTCTGCGGAGCAGTCGCCCGTTTCTGCTCCATTGCCGTTGGCGCGTCTTTTACGGATCGTGGCATGCGCAACGACGCACACGATGCGGTGGCGGTTGTGCTCACTCTCCCTGGTGCTATTCAGCCTGGGGAGAGCAAGAGGCGGAAGATTGTCGTCGAAAACGTCTCCGACGCCGACGTCAGCGTACAGGCGGACGCCGAGTCTTCTGTGCATTGGGATCGGTCGCCGAGTTCTACTCCTCCGCTTTCACCGACTTCACCGGGTGATCCCGACTACGTCGAGGATGTCGTTCAGAATCGCGCGAACGACTTGCACAGGGAGCTGAGGCAGCTTTGGGACGAAAGGTACGACGAGGAGTACGATCCGAAAGTCCTCCATCATCTCAGTCTCTTGCTTTTCAAAAAGAGGAAGTCCACGGAGCCAGCGGACACTGATCCAGCTGGCGCTCCTCAGCCTGGCTCGGAATATGACACGGCCTTTGCGTCTCAGGAGGAGACTGGCCGAGCCATTCTCTCTGTCCTTAAGCTTCGACATGACTTTCTGCGGAGCAAGAACATCGACGACATGCGCTACGTTCTCACGGAGCCTGAGCGCCAGGAATTGGTCAGAGTAGCTCGCGACCAGTACGAGCAGTCGCGGCAGCAGCGTGCGCTTCAGGAACGGGATGTCGAAAAGGGAAAAGCGAGAGGCAAGTCTGCGCCACAAGGGGGCCATGCGGTTCCGCAGGGTCCTAACAAAGGGCCAGGCGGTAAGAAAGGTTCTCACGGTGCTTCTCAGCCTGCGGGAAAAGGTGGCCAGGCCAAGGGTGCAGGTCTGGGTAGCGTCGCCAAGTTTGTGAAAGACCAGAAGCGTAAGCGGTGGCATCGCCATTTGCAACGTGTGGCCGGTACCAAACAGATCTGGGAGGTGCTGGCCTTCTCAGGGCGCTTCGACGTTGATTGGCTAACGCAAGCGTTGCAAGCTGATCACAGTGAGGGCCGTGATGCAGCAGTTCCCGAGGAAGCTCTGCGGCAACAGCGGCGCCGGCTGCACCACCAGAAGGCCGAGGCCATCGCGCGCTACAACGAGGGGGGGCGGCTTTCCCGCCATCTGTCTGCCCAGGCTGGCCAGCCAAAGCCGAACTTCACGCGCAGGCAGCTGGACGTGTTGCAGATGTTTGAGAGCGGAGAGCTGCTTCAAATCCGCAACCAAGCGATTCTGGCGTTGGGGCACGGCCGTCTGTTCAGGGCCGATGGCGACTACCTGGACATCGGCGGCAGCACGGGCGGTGGCTCCAGGCGCATCATCGATTCTTGGCAGCCGCCGGACTGGCGTGACTTCCTCCAAGACGATCAGGACATCTGAGTTTTGCAAGTCTCCCTGCCCGCGGTGCTTCTCAGCCTGCGGTCTGCCGCTCTCCAGCTGCGGTCTCGAGCAGTAGTGTTCGAAAGCATGCGAGTTCCTGCGGTGCTTCTCAGCCTCTTGGGGCCTCTTGGGGGCCTCTTGGGGCCTCTTGGGGCCTCTTGGGGGCCTCTTGGGGGCCTCTTGGGGGCCTCTTGGGGCCGCTTGGGGGCCTCTTGGGGGCCTCTTGGAGGCCTCTTGGGAGCCTCCTGGGGGCCTCTTGGGGCCATCTTGGGGCCTCTTGCGACCTCCTCAAAAGCGCAAATGAGAGCTGCCCCCTGAGAAGGACAAAATGAGCCGAAAACCTTCGTAAAATCAATGATTTTGCTGTGAAGGGAGATGAGCGCGGCCCCCTGAGGACGCCAAAATGGGGCCAAAACCGTAGTACAATCAATGATTCTGGCTTTAAAGAAGAGGAGGGGGACCAGACGGTGCCCCCCCGTCGGGGCCAGAATCCTCGTGAGGGTCGTCGTTTTTTTTAGCCCTCCCAGGAGTCGAAAAAGACCCCTCAAACGACCCGCGGGGCGCCCTCTCCAGGCCCAGGGGGAGGGGGTAGGGGGAGGGGTAAACCCCTCCCCGAAGGGGAAGAAGGGGGGTTGAGAACAGAGCGGGCTCCCTAAACCACTCACGCCCAAAGGGCTGGTGGGATTGATAAGGAGCAGTGATCAAACCCGAAGGGCGGCCGTAAGCCCTCGCGTTCCGCCCTCCCACCGCATGATTAAAAGCCGAGTACCGCCAGCCCTTGGAGGGCCTCTTGGAGCCTCGTGGGGCCTCTTGGGGGCCTCTTGGGGGCCTCTTGGGGGCCTCTTGGGGGCCTCTTGGGGCCTCTTGGGGCCTCTTGGGGGCCTCTTGGGGGCCTCTTGGGGGCCTCTTGGGGCCGCTTTGGGGGCCTCTTGCCCTGACTCTTACTCCGACTCGTGCAGTTCGCCTTACTCTTACTCTGACTCTTACTCTCACCGTTACTCTTGCTCTGACTCTTCCTCCTCCTCCTCTTCCCTTCTTCCTCGTCCCCCTTGATCTCGCCTCCCAGCTAGGAGCTCTGGTGTTTCCTCGGTCGTGCTTCGTTTTCTTTTGGTCGTGTAGCGTTCCTGACAGTCCAAGACCAGCTCGTCGTCGCCAGTCGCCAGTCGCCTGTCGACCGCCCTCCAGACGCTGTCTCAGATGATGTGGCTCGCCGTGGATGGTCCGTCTGGGCATGGGCGTACGGTGCCGACGCTCGACCATGCGGACCTCGTCCTGGCTCAGAACCACCGCATCGCAGGTCCTTCGGAGGTCAATTGTTATGAGTTCGGCACGGTCTCGGTCAAGTACAGCGTGCTGTGGGGATCCCGAGATGGGGCCTGGCTCAAGGTGCTCAAGACGTACTGGAGTGTCCCAGAGCCGGAGTGCCAGCTGATCCTCGGGAGTTGGAACGGCATTTTCAGGCCGTGGCCGGACACGTTCTGGATCAGGACGGGGGGGTCCGAGCCCGAGATGGAGTGCTAGCGCTCTGCAGTACAAGTGCTTTTCAGCATGCGACATCCTGCGGTGCTTCTCAGCCTGCAGGGTTCGCAGCGTGCGGTTTGCAATGCATTCCTTTTCAGTATGCGAGTTCCTGCGGTGTTTCTCAGGTTGCAGGGCTCCGAGGCTCTTCGCTTCGATGCCAATGTTTTCAGACACCGTAGCTCCGTTCCGTAAACATCTTCCAAGAGCCGCTCGCAACCTTTTGCAGCTGGCGGTCTGCAGACGTAGTCTGTCTCAGCATGCGAGCTCCCGCACGCTTCGCCGGCTTTTGCTGCGCGGTCAATTTTCTCACACACGTCAGCGCCGTTTGTAGGCGTCAGAAAAACATGTAGACATTCACGAAAGGCTCAGTCTGTATATCGTCACATCATTACATACGCAGTCGTCGAACACATCGGTGTACATTCAGCGCTTTGTTCTTCTAGTTGGGTCGCTTCGTGCTGAGGCTGAGGCTGATGCAGGCTGAGGCTGAGGCAGGCTGAGGCTGAGGCCGAGGCCGACGGCAGACTGAGGCTGAGGCTGAAGCAGGCTGAGGCTGAGGCAGAGGCAGGCTGAGGCTGAGGCTTGAGGCAGAGGCAGGCTGATGCTGAGGCAGGCTGAGGCTGAGGCTGAGGCTGAGGCTGATGCAGGCTGAGGCTGAGGCAGGCTGAGGCTGAGGCCGAGGCTGAAGGCAGACTGATGCTGAGGCTGAAGCAGGCTGAGGCTGAGGCTGAGGCAGGCTGAGGCTGAGGCAGGCTGAGGCTGAGGCTGAGGCAGGCTGAGGCTGAGGCTGTGACTGCGACTGCCGTTGCCGCTGCGACTGTCATCGCGAATGCGACTACGACTGCGAGAACAGCAGAATTCTACAACTGGATTCTCATCCGAATCTTAAGGGGAATGCTTCCAGATATGCTCCTACACATGGCTGTTAGGTTGCTTTGCCGGGATAATATTATAGACGCTTCAGCCCATGCAGAGACGATTCCCAAGGATTTGCCTCGATCAGGGAAGTGGGCAGCACGCAGATGACTGGTCCCTCATGGAGCGCTTTTGGGACACTCTTGGGCGCTCGTGGGGCCATCTCGGGGCTCCCTTGGGCCTCTCTTGCGTCTTTGGGGGCCTCTTGGCGGTCCCGGGGGCCTCTTGGAGCGTCTCGGGGAGCCTCTTGGGGCCTCTTGGGGGTCTCTTGGGAGCCTCTCGGGGGTCTCTTGGGCGCCTCTTGGGGCCCTCTTGAGGCGCTCTTGGGAGCCCTGGGAGCACTATTGGGGCTATCTTGGAGGGCATCGATCAAACAAGAGGGGAGCAGTCATTCGCGTTGCCCCTCGAGAGCCCCAACAGTCGCCTCTTGGGGCGATTTTGGGGCGCTGTTTGAGCGCTCTTGGGCGCTCTTAGGTCCGTCTTGGCGCTCTCTTGAACCTCTCTTGGGCCCTCTTGGCCCATCTTGGAGCAATCTTGAGGCCTCGGATGGCCATCGGAAGCGAACAAGCGAGAACGCAAACAACCTTGGTGTTTCGCAGGTTTTGGAAGGATGTTGTCTTCTTCGGGGCCTCCTGGGAGAGCTCTTTCGCCACTTGGAGCCGTATTGGAGCGATCTTGGGGTCTCTTGGAGTTTCTTGGGAGCCATCTTGAGGCATCTTGGGATGTCTTGAGCCATCTTGGAGGTCATCTTGGGCTCTCCCAGGCGCTCTTGGAGCCATCTGAATCAGTTCCACTCCCCCAGGAGGCCAACATGTGGCCAACACATGGGTACAATACATGATTTTGGCATTCTCGCCGAGGCCTCTTGGGGCGTCTTGGGTGCCTCTGGGAGGCCTCTTGGCGCCTGTTGGGGGTCAATTGGGAGGCTTTTGTGGGCATTCTGGGGGCCTGTTGGGGGCCTCTTGGGGCCTCCTGGGTACCTCTTGGGGCTCTTTTTGGGAGCCTTGGGGACCATCTTTGGGCCATCTTGGAGGACATCGATCAAACAGGAGGGGAGCCTCAATTGGCGGGGGGCCCCCAAGAGGCCAACATGCGGCCCAAATCTACGTAAAACCAATGATTCTGGCGTCCGCCCCGGCCAGGTCCAGGGGAGGGTGTATGGGGTTACCCCGAAGGGGAAGAGTGGGAAGACAAACCACCCCAGGCCACCTACGCCCTAAAGGGCTGGTGGGGCTTTGAGACTGTACCAGGGCGTTGTGGTGCTACAGTTGCAGAACTGGTGTTCTGGTACGACTTAGGATGGTCAGGAGGCAACCGTCACATTGATTTGCGGTGCTGATGCCCCAGGAGTGGTGCTCTGGCGCGACCTAGGCCTGTCAGGACGCAGAAGTCACGTTGATTCGCGGTGCCGAAGCCCCCGAAATGGTGTTCTGGCGCGACCTCGGATTGTCAGGACGCAGCAGCCATGTTGAGTCGCGATGTTGGAGTCCCAGAAATGGTGCTCTGGCGCGGTTTAGGATTGTCAGGACGCAACAGTCACGTCGATTCGCGGCGTTTGCTGAAGTCTCAGGAGTTGTGTTTTGGCACGATTTCGGATTTTGGTGATGAACATTTTTTGGTATGGACTTATGAAGAGGGGGACTTGGAGGGAGTGTGTTTTGCGGGTTTACACTGGTCATTCCTCCTCGTCCTCCTCATTCTCCTACTCTCCTCCCGTCTCCCCTCCCGCCCTTCTCCCTTCTCTACCTCTGCATCTCCCTCGTCCCTTCCATCCTACCGCCTTCCTCCCTTCTCTCCTCCCCCCTTCTCTTCCCTCTCCTCCCTCATCCCTCCCCTCCCTCCTCCTCCCCCTCCCTCCTTCCATTACCTCCTCCTTCTCCTTCTCCCATCCTCCTCCTCCTCCTCCTCCTCCTCCTCCTCCTCCTCCTCCTCCGCCTCCCTCGTGCCTCCTCCCTCGTGCCTTCCCCCTCCCCTCCCTGTCCTGCCCCCCTCCTGTGGCGACCTGCAGGGCCAGCCTGTGGGGGGCCCCTGACAGAAGAAGGGCGTGCGCGCGGCGGATTGCTCGGGACTGCTCCATCGAGCGCCTCGTCCCCCCCTCCCCCTCCCCTCCCTCCTCTCCTCAAGGGCGCCCTCGAGGGCGCGAAGACGTTCGCGCGTCGCGCTTCGCTGCTCGGCTCCGATTCCTCCCCGTCCTCCTCTCCTCCCGTGGGAGGCGGCGCGAGAGCGCGAAGCAATCCGCACTTCGCGCCTCGCGCAGCGCGACGCGCGAAGTCAGGCGCCCTCGCCTCTCCGCCTCCCCTCCCCCGGGCCACCCTCGCGTCGTGCACAGAGCTCGACGGGAGGGGTCTTTTGATGACGTTCTGCCTCTGGGGGCCCGTGCTGGGCCTCGGGGCCGTCAGAAAACGGCGCGGGACGCAGGGAAGGAAAAGGTACCCATACCGCTACCTGTCCCTTGTTTTCCCTTTTCCGGCCTCCTGGGAGGCCCTCGTCGTCACCGCTGGATTCGCTTCGAAATTCTGGTCAGAACGCACCTCGGGAGAGGTCTGGAGAGTAGTGATATCGGTACCTTTTGGTTTCCCCCAAGCCGGTCCCGGGACAGAGGTCCAGGGGAGCCACGCTGTGAAACAATCACGACGTTGGATGCTTGGGCAGGGGGGAGGTGTGTGAGGAGAGGAGTGGTGAGGTGGCGAGGAAGTCGAGGGGGGGAGAGAAGAGGAAGAGCAGGGAGGAGAGGGAGGAGCGTAGGCATGACCTGCTCGAGCATGATCAGCCGATGGGGGCCCAAGGCGCGCTTGTGATACCAGGTGTTGGTTGCCCACCCGAGGCAGAGTGGCCGCCAGTGTCCGCTGCTGAAGTTGGGGATGGCCCCGATCGTTCATTGGCGATGATTTGTTCGAGCTCCAGCCCCGTGTGTTGGGGCAGAGTCCTGCCGGGGAGCGCGGCCGCGGCAGCTGGGCCGAGACATCGTGCTATCCCCGAGGCCACTCTTAAATACCGAAAGGGTCCCCCTCCTAAGGCGGAGGCTGCGGACGGTGGCCATGTCATCAGGGGTGGCCTGAATGACCCCTAGCACACCATCCCCTTCCGTGACGTCCCCCTCGCCTCGCCCCAAGACGCATATATGTCTTATATCTATATATATATATATATATATTATATATATATTATATATATATATATATGATCTTTTTATACATGTGTAAGAGTCTATGGCGGGAGGGGAGCTCGACGGACGAGGACGACGTCACGGAAGGGGATGGTTTGCTTGGGGTTGGCGACCGGTGGAGAAGTAGGAGGAGACGGGGTAGGATGGGGACGAGGTGGAGAAGTAGGAGGAGACGGGGTAGGATGAGGAGGAGGAGGAGGAGGAGGAGGAGGAGGAGGAAGAGAAAGAAGGAGTAGGCCGCCTGTCGCATCAAGCTGGTAGGAGGAATGAGGCAGATGATGATGAGCGAGGAGGAGGAGGGGGATGAGGAAAAGGAGGATGAGGAGGAGGAGGAGGGGGATAGCGAGGAGGAGAAGGAGGAGGAGGAGGAGGAGACGGATGATGCCGGGTACGTGAAGGAAAATGGGGGACAAAGGGGACATGATGAAGATGACAAGGAGGAGGAGGAGGAGAAGGAGGAGGAGGAGGAGGAGGAGGAGAAGGAGGAGGAGGACGAGGAGGTTTTGAGGGGATGAGGTGGAGGAGGAGGAGCACGCGGAGGAGGAGGAGGAGGGAGAGGAGGAGAGGAAGCGGAGGAGGAAGGAGAGGAAGACGGGGCGAGGGGAGGGAGAAGGAGGATGAGGATGCGGAGGAGGAGGAGGAGGAGGAGGAGGAGGAGGAGGAGAAAGAGGAGGAGGAGGAGGAGGAGGAGGAAGAGGAGAAGGCGGAGGAGGAGGAGGCGGAGCGGAGGAGATGGAACGAAGAGTGGGAGCAGGAATAGGAGTAGGAAGATGAGGAGGCGGCGGAGAAGAGGAGGAAGAGGAGGAGGAGGAGGAGGAGGAGAGGAGTAGGAGAGGAAGGGGGGGTCTGGGGGGGGGGAATTAAGGAGGAAAAGGCCTCAGTAGGACGAGGACCCTGCGGAGGAGGAGGAGGAGGAAGAGGAGGAAGATGAGGAGGAGGAGGAGGGCGGGCATGATACTCAGGAGGATGATGCCGATGATGATGATGGTGCTGATGCTAATGCTGATGCTGATGATGCTGCTGCTGATGGTGCTGGTGCTGATGCTGATGCTGATGATGCTGATGATGGTGATGCTGATGCTGATGCTGATGCTGCTGATGCTGGTGCCGATGCTGATGATGATACTGATGCTGATGCTGATGCTGATGATGCTGATGATGATGATGATGAGGAGGAGGATGATGAGGAGGAGGGGTAGGATAAGGAGGATGAACACTACAATGATAATGCTGAGGAGGAGGAGGAGGAGGAGGAGGAGGAGGAGACGGAGGAGGAGGCGGAGGAGGAGGATGAAAAGGAGGAGGACGGGGAGGTAAGAGGAGAGGAGGAGGAGGAGGAGGCGGAGGAGGAGGAGGAGGAGGAGGAGCGGCGGCGGAGGAGGAGGAGGAGGAGGAGGAGGCGGAGGAGGACTAATGATAATACTAAACAAGACGAGTAATAAGAATAGTTAATAATACGAAGAAATAGGAAGAGGAAGAAGAAGAGAGGAGGAGGAGGAGGAGGAGAGGGGGGGGGGGGATAAGGAGCAGGAGGATGATGAGATGGGGAGGAGGCCGGAGATGAGGGAGGAAGGCCGGAGATGAGGAGGAGGAGGATGAGGCGGAGCAGGAGGAGAAGGAGGATGATGATGAGGAGGAGGAGGAGGAGGACGAGGAGGAAGAAGAGTTGGAGGAGGAAAGGGAGGGGCAGGAGAGGAGGAGGAGTGAGGAGAAGGAGGAGGATGAGCGGAAGGAGGAGGAGGAGGTGGAGGAGGAGGAGGAGGACAAGAGGAGGAGGAGGCGGAGGAGGAGGAGTGGAGGAGGGTCGGGGAGGAGGAGAGGAGGAGGAGGAGGAGGAGGAGGAGGGAGAGAAGTAGGAGAGGAGGTAGGAGGAGGAGGAGGAGGAGGAGGAGGAGAGGGGAGGAGGAGGAGGAGAAGGAATAGGAACGTATTGATGATGATGATGATGATGATGATGATGATGAGATGATGATGATGATGATGATGATGATTGATGATGATGATGATGATGATGATGATGATGATGAATGAGGAGGAGGAGGAGGAGGAGGAGGAGGAGGAGGAGGAGAAGGAGAAGGATGAGGATGATGATGACGAGGAGGAGAAATGGGGGTACCACACTTTATCAACGATATTTCCATGCACCGTGCCTCCAAGATCCCTTTGCATAGACCATGATAGATAGGTGATTTCCATTGAGGCCAGTGACCCTTTGGAAGACATCCTCTTGAAAAGTTGGTTTTATGCCAGAACACCATTCTCGTGACTTCAGCGCCGCGAAACACCCTTGCTGTTGCCTGTTGACGACTCCCAATCGTGCCAGAAAACCGGTTCTGGGCATTCAGCGCCCCGGATGAACGTGATTGTTGCGCTTCGACATTCCGGCATCTTTGCGTAACACTGTGTCTGGGACGGCATAATGCCAGCTTGCGGTTAACGAATGATGCCCCCCGGGGCTGATGGATAGATCCCGCAGGGCGCGAAACAATGGTTCTAATCACGTGCGCCAAGAGGTCGCGCGGGTGCAGCCGAGGGAATCGCGTATTTATCCGGGGCGAAATTTTTCCCCTTAGGCTGACGATTGGCGTGCCACAGTCGTCGTCGTCGTCGTCGCCGTCGTCCGTCCTCCGACGTCCGTCGTCCGTCGTCCGTCGTCCGTCGCCCGTCGCCCGTCGCCCGTCGTCGTCGTCGCCGTCTTCGTCGTCATCGTCGTCGTCGCCGTCGTCGTCGTCGTGATCCGGGGTTCCAGCCGTCGATTCTGGCGCGCCTACCCAGCCCCCCCCCCCCCCATGGGGTATCCGCAGAGCGTCGTCGTCGTCTCGTCGCCGTCGTCTCGTTGTCATCGTCGTCATGCCGCCGCCGTCGTCATCGTCGTCGTCGCCGACTGCGACTGCACTGGAACTACGCAGCACACCCCTTTCTCCGCATTGGGGCATCCGCAGCAGTGCGCCGCCGTCGCCTTCGCCGTCATCGTCGCGCCGCCGTCGCCTTCGCCGTCATCGTCCCGTCGTCGTCGCGTCGCCGTCGTCTCGCGTCGTCGTCGTCCTCGTCGTCGTCGTCGTCGTCGACGAGCACAGCGGGCATGCGCAGCCTTTCCCTGCCCCCCTACCATGGAGCATCCGCAGTGCGTGCGTCGTCGTCCGTCAGCGCTGTCGTCGTCGTAGGATGCTGTAGTGGAAGGGGGGTCGGAGAAGGAAAACATGGAGCCCCCTTCCGCCCGCCATTGTCGCTAATCCTCCCCTTGTGTTTTTCTTGTTTGCAGCCATGTCGGCACCGCCCGCCAGCTGAGGTGCCTCTTTCCCCCGCCTCCTTGTTCTTTCTTCTCTGTAGCCATTTCGGCCAAGAGCCCCGCTATAACAGAGGAGTTGCTGTCCCCCTCCGCTGAAGTGGCGCCGTTTGCGTCGCGCCTGTCGCCCTCGTGCTGTCGGCCAGGCGTCGGCGCTTATCACCAGCGCCGCCGCCGTGCGTTTCCATTTGGCGGGCGTCCCCCCCCACGATTCGCCCGAGCAGGGAAACCATGTATTTCGTCACGCGTCCGCCTGTTGTTGTTAAGCACGAGCTGTCATTGCAGGAGAAACCATAACAGCCGTTGCGAACTCCGAAGACAAATTGGTTCGGCGCTAAAGCGAAAGCCACATCTGGAAATCGGGCGCCTTTTCCATCCGTGGAGCTTCCGCAAGATTTTAAGACGAATGCGCGCGGCTGTAAGGAGAAGGAGAAGAGGAGGAGGAAGAGGAGGAGGAGGAGGAGGAGGAGGAGCAGGAGGAGGAGGAGGAGCAGGAGGAGGAGGAGGAGGACGCTGCTGGCCCAGTCAACTCCCCCCCCCAGTCCGCTTCCCCGCCCCGTCGGCGCCAGTCGCACGTGTCGCACATCGCGCAGCCCCCGCCCGAGCAGGACTGGGGAGGGGCGCGCGGGGCCGAAGCGCACCCGGAGAGAGCGCATCCTCGGAGTCGTTCTCGTGGACGGTCTCGCCGTGCGTTCCCACTTGTGTTTCGCTTCGGAGAGGTGCGTGTGGTTCAGTTTGGTCCTTGCCGCCTCTTGCGTGGTCACACACGTTGCTGGGCGGGCAGCTGCATGGAGACATGATCGGGTCGTCGCTGCATCTCCGCTTGGGCGCACTGCTGGCCGCCATGGGCGTCAGGGGATCGAGTCTGGGAGCATGCGTGTGCGCGCATACATGTCGCATCTTTCAACGGAAGCCTGAGGCCTGGCCTACAAGCAACTTGTGGTTGTTGGCGGATGTATTTCTTGGCTTCGGAGAGGTGCGTGCCGACAGGACCCAGTCGAATCCCAAAGTGGTTTTCTCGGCGATCACATTGGGCAGGTTTGCAGAAATCGTGGATCCATGATCTTGGCGATTTGCTTTCCGCGGGGCTTGTGGGCCGAAGCATGCCTCGCGACAGCTTTAGCATCATAATCGTTCTCGTGGGTTGTCGAGCCATTCGTTCCCGTGAGTTTCCTGGTCTTGCCTGCGTTGCCGACCGTCGACATTCCGTTGCCGCTCGGGCCACAGGCTGCATTGCGCGGGGTCGCTGGCAGCAATAGGCGCTCGAACGTACACACTCCATCCGTCCCGCATGGGACAAGAGTGCATAAATACCGAAGCTGGTACAGTGGAATCCATGCCAATAATCACTCTGCTTGCCTCCAGGGTGCCCTGGGTTTCTTGGGTTTCGATGGTTCTGCTATGGAATGCGTGGCGGTCTCACACCGAAAATCAATGGACGTCCTGGGGCCCCTTGGGTTTCTTACAGAAGGTTTCTTGTGGCCGAGCTCCTACTGTATTCGATCGTCCTGCCATCGCCAGAAGTGATGGGACCAGCGCTACTTCCACTCGGGGGCGTGAGGCTGACGTGCCTGGGGCGAGGCGGAGCGGCGGGGGGCCGAGGGAGGGGAGGGGTGGAGCGGAGGTCGCGAAAAGGGGGGGGAAGGCGGGGGTCGCGGGAGTCGCGGGTGGGGGAGAGGGGGCGGGGGGGAGGCAGGAGTCGCGGGAAGGGGGGAGGAGGCGGGAGAAGGGGCGGGATGGCGGTTGGCGGGATGGGGGAGGCGGGAGGCGGGAAGGGGAGGTGGCTGGAGGCGGGGGTGGGTTCGGCAGGGGGGGCAGAGGCGGACGGGGGTTCGGCCTTCCGATTGCTGGGTCCAGCCTGCCCCCCCCCCTCTCCGCCCCCTCCTCAGACCTCTTCCCCCTTCCGCCTCCTCATCAGCCTCTCCTGCCCATGCAGGCCCCCGGAGGCCTCCAACGGATCCCAGACGCCCCCCAAAACGCCCCAATCCCTCGACCCCCCTCAGAGACTTCCGGGGGCCCGAGGAGAACCGCTGCAGGGCGAGCTCGAGGCCAGATCCTCGATATCCTCCGCCCTCTTAGCCAAGAGCCCAGCCTAGAACTCCCCAGTGGGGCCCCGGGAGAAGCAGCCGCTCTGGGCCTGCCCCCGAGGCCAGGGCTCGATCCTCGCTGGGCCCAGGGCCCCCAGCGGGGCTCGAGGAGAAGCAGCTGCCCAGCGAGCTCGACCGACGCCCCCGAGGCTCCACGAGCTCCAAGCCCAGACGCCCCCCAGAGGTCCCGATTCCTCCCTGCGGCCGGCCCTCGCCCCGGAGATCCACTCCTCCTGGCACCTGGGCCCGCGGGCCGACCCCCCCCCCCCAGCGGCCGAGATCGAGGCACGCCGCCCAGACGGGGAGAGCATCGGGCCGTCGGAGGTCCTGGGCCTCGAGCTCGCCCCAGAGTCGGGGATGCGCAGGGGGGGGGGATCGCCCGAGGTGGGGTCGGGGGAGCAGGCCCAGCTCGAGGCTGGTGGTGCCCTTCCCCAGGGGGCCGTCCTGGGCGAGTCGGCCTCTGACCCCAGCTCTGCAGGGCTCCTTTCTCGACCCGGCCCGTCCAAACCGATACCCATTCCGGCCCGCCCGATCCGATTCGCTTCCGAGGTTCCTGCGATCCGAGTCGGCCCGGCGCTTGCATGGCGCCAGTGAGCGGCCTGGCGCGGCCGGTCCGATTCGATGCCGACTCTGTGCCTGTGCGGCCTGCCCCGAGGCGCGCTGCGATGCGGCTCGATGTGTGCCCATGCGTCAGGTGTTGCGCCCACCAGGAAACAAAACGAGGGCCTCGACAAATTTGTTTTTGCATTTTTTCATGTATTTATTGGTGGCGTCAAACGCGGTCGTCGCCGATCGCTTGCCCTGATTTAGCGATTTCGGTCGACGGAGGCACGCGAATCGCGCGAGTTTCCTTCTCGTAACTGCTTCTGCCGTGTGCCGCGTTTTCATGGCGCACGTGCCGCGCCTTGCCCTTTCAGATTCAATCGTTCGTACTAGTGCGCGGGCCGCATGCAGGCCGCAGTCCACGCGCGTTTGCGCGGCGCACCGCAGCGCGCTTCGAAACGATGTTGGGCACAATGGCATTTCTAGCGCAACGCCGCGAAATTGTTAGCCACCTCGCGCGGGTGATGCCGAACGCACGCGTGTCCCACCGCATGTGCGCCGCCGGAGCTAATTTTCCGATTTCGGTCGTGAATCGTATCGCGGGCGTGTGTCAGGCGCCTTCGACGCGCCATGTAGGCCCGCGCCGTGCGCGCCCACGCATCATGTCAGAAACATATCATCTTACTACTTCCGCGTAATGCAGCGCGTGCGTTGCAACGCTGTTAGCCAAGGGCGCTGGTGCGTCGCCGAAAACCACAGCCAGGTTCCCTTGGCAGGAGGACTGGTGGGGTCGCTCATTTTCACCACCCTAAGGGGAGCCGCCAATGGTTCTCTCACGGTCCCGTTCGCAACCGTTTTGTGGGGATGTCTCAAGCGTCGTGCTTGCTTTCTGTCCCAGCATCCTTCGCTCTCGGAGTAGATTTGGAGGATGTCTCGAGCGAGGCGCTCCATTTCACCCCCCCAGGTGGGCCAGATTTTGAGGATGTCTCGATCGGTGGCCAGACTCGTGGGCGCTGGTTTTCCTGGGGTTGCCACAGGAGGCTCCAACAGGTTCCAAGAGGCCCCAGGAGACCACATGAGGTCCCAGGATGAATCAGGATGCCACAGAAAGACCCAAGAGGCCACAGGATGCCCCAAGAGGCTCTAGGAGGCCCCAGGAAGCTCCTGGAGGCTTCAGGAAGCCACAGGAGGCCCCAGGAGGCCAGAGGAAGCGCCAGGAGGTCTCCGGAGGGCAACAGGAGGCCCCGAGAGGCCCCAGGAGCAGGAGGCCTCAGAAGGCAACAGGGGTGGGTCCAATCCCGTGTGTTTTACGTATGCTCTCATATATTGGGCCTCGCCTGGGGCACGAATCCTTGATGTTATACGTATGTTTTTTATAGATTGTCCATATCCTGTGTACTTATTATGTTCCTATAGGGCCTTTCCTAGGGCACGACTCCTTGGTGTTGTACGCGTGTTCCTATAGATTGCCCCTTTTTTCTGCGGCTCCAAGTCGCAATGTTTTATGTGCGACTGTTGCTATAGATTGGGCCTCTCCTCGGGCACGAATCCTCCCTAGGAGGTCCCAGGAGGCCCCAGGGGGCCCAAAGAGGCTCCTGGAGGCCCCAAGAAGCCCCAGTAGGTCCCCAGGAGGCCCCAGGAGGCCCCAGGAGGACCCAGGGTCATGCGCAGAGACGCGCTCGTACTACTGAGGCTCATTCACACTCCAATTGATTCTCAGTTAGATTCATGACCAGACCGTCACAACTGAAACCCGTTTATACTCGAAAGTTTTTGCACCTAGATTCTCACGGCGGACAGGTCCATGGGAATAAATGCGCATATGGGGAGCCCCACGCAGTGAATATTTGAATCCCCTTAGGGGGGTGACAATGAGCGCCTCGCTCGAGACATCCTCCAAATCTGCTCCGGAAACGAATGATGTTGGGACAACTAACAGGCAAACCCGCTTGAGACATCCCCACAAAACGGCCGCGAACGGGACCGTGAGATAACCCCTCGGCGGCTCCTTAGGGACGTGAGAATGAGCGCCTCGCTCTAGACATCCTCCAAATCTGCTCCGAAAGCGAAGGATGTTGGAACAGAAAACAGGCAAGCCGCTGGAGACATCCCCACAGAACGGCCGCGAAGGGGACCGTGAGATAACCATTGGCTGCTCCCCTAAGGGGGGTGAAAATTAGCGCCTCGCTCGAGACATCCTCTAAATCAGCTCCGATAGCGAAATATGTTGGGACAGAAAACAAGCAAACCGCTTGAGGCATCCCCACGAAACGACCGCGAACGGGGCGCGCGTGAGTCTCAGCATGAGTAAGTCTGAGTCGGAGCAGGTCTGAGTATGAGTAGGTATGAGTATGAGTAGGTATTTGTGTGTGAATATGTGTCTGAGTTAGTCTGAGTGTGAGTCAGTCTGTATATGAGTAAGTCGGGGCATGAGGAGGAGAGGGCAGGAGAAGAGTGAGAAGGAGTAGGAGGCGTCCAAGTAATAACAAAAAACCATCTTAGGATATGGCGAAAATGCAAACTGCACCAAACCCTCGATGGGGATTACCCGTCTGACATGCAACGCCATCCGCGCGGGGCGAACATCACGCGGTGATAACGGACTGTGGCCCCAGTCGCACTGTAAAATCCAATCCGCGAGCTCCCATCGGGGAATCCAGGCGCGCGGCGTTCCCCCTGCTGACAGCACGCCCTGGAAAGAAAAAAAAAAAAAAAAAAAAAAAAAAAAAAAAAAAAAAAAAAAAAAAAAAAAAAAAAAAAAAAAAAAAAAAAAAAAAAAAAAAAAAAAAAAAAAAAAAAAAAAAAAAAAAAAAAAAAAAAAAAAAAAAAAAAAAAAAAAAAAAAAAAAACGAGCACGTCGCATATTTAGAATGAGGGCGGCTCGGCCATACCAATCGTCGCAACTGCTCCCAAATATGCCGTCCCCCCCCCATCGGCCCTATGTCATTCAAACGTCCTCTGCATTGATGCGAACTGCC